TCCTTAGGCAATCTCAGAAATATCCAAATGGGTCAAATTTTCTGTAAAAGTTTCTCAAAAAAGATTATGAGAGCCACCTGCTATTCCTTTGGTTATTTCATTTTGACTCTCTTACTGGAGCAGTTCCTCATGCCTTAGCATTCTAGATCTTGTGCCTAATTTGGCCAAATGTCAAATTACAGCTATTTGAGGGTGATTTTTTCTCATCTCTGAGGTTTGCTGACCTCCTTCCCCTATACTTCCAATTCTGCTTCCAGATGCTTTGAATTTTTAGTTTTTTGTCCTTGAGAAGAGCATTTCATAAAAGTGATGTTCTCTGTAATTTGAGAACTGGAGTATATTTTTGTATAACACCATATTTAAGAATCAGGAGTGATTAGTGGAGAGTAAAAAGGGGAGAGCTTGGTTATCTTTTAAATGAATGGATCCAAAGGACAAGGAGGTGTTACAAAATATGTTTAAGTACTATATACTTGTTGAGAGAGTTCATTACAACAACAAAACCAAAACTGCCAATCATATCTTCTTACTTTTACTTTTTTATCCTACTCATAGCTGACCCTTTGGTGGGTTTTCCGAGGCAGTTAATCACATGGGAGGAGATTGCTTCTCCTGTAGAGCAGCTGGTGGACTCAAACCATGTGCCTTTGGGATTGCAGCTCACCTTCTTACCACTAGGCCACCAGAGCTTCACAACCATATCTTTTTAATATTATTGTTACTTATAATTTACAACTCAGCACTCAAGAGCAACGATGTCTCTCTGGAGACTAAGGTGTGCCTGATACAGACCATGGTCTTTGCAATCACTTGTTATGCATCAGAGAGTTGGACAATGACTAGGGAGGACAGAAGGAGACTTGATGCCTTTGAGCTGTGGTGCTGGAGAAGAGTATTGAATGTACCATGGACTGCCAAGAAAACAAACAGATGCATCCTGGAGAGGGTTAAACCAGGGTACTCCTTGGAGGCAAGGATTCTGGGGCTTTGTCTGACGTACTTTGGGCATGTTGCAAGGAGGGACAGGTCCTTGGAGAGGGATATCATGCCTAGGAGGGTGGAGGGATGGCGCAAGAGGGGAAGACCCTCTATGAGATGGATTGATTCAGTGACTGGGGTAATCGGGATGGGTGTGTCAGAGGCAGTGCGATGGTACAGGATAGAGCAGGGTTTAGGGCTGGTGTACATAGGGTCGCTGTGAGTCGCAAATGACTCGATGGCACATAACAGCAACAACAACAACAACAACAACAACAACAACAACAATATTTTCTAAGACTTGATCCTTTGTCTTTCTTTTTCCCCTGATTTTGAGATTGCTTTTTTAGATGCTGAGATCACTTTGTTGAAATTATTTAGGCAAAACCTATTTAAAGTGGATCAGAAAATTCTGTTAATACAGTAATATCAAGAGGATAAATCTGTCTACTTTGTATTAAAATCAACTATAGTAAATCTACAAATTGAGAGACAGAATGAGCATTTCAGTATCTGGTTTGTAAGGACAGAGACATAGGACAGAGGAAGGAATACCATAGACCAGGACTTTTTATGTTTACTTTCTTTAGGGACCTTTGGCATAACCTGTCTCATCTCCTCCCCTCTCCCTTACCCCATGGTAGTAAAGGGCAAAGTGCGCTGAGGTTGATAAACAGGTTGGCAGCTTTATTCAGCCTGTTATGTCAATACATTTATGCTGATGTTACAGCAATGCCTTTTGTCACTAGAGCTTCTAAGACAGTATTTAGAACTTAAAACACAGCCACTGAAACATAATCAAGGGGATAGAAGTTGTCTTTAGAGGATGGGGCAGATGAGTATTGATGGAAGGAGGATGAGAGAGCCTGTGGGGAAAACTTAAGTTTTGTCTTGACCTGGGTGATCACTACATGCATGTATTTGCAATGTCAATAAAGTATTAGAAAACTAACATTTTATAGTACTTTTATAGTAGGAAATGAGTTAAATACCCTGTAACAATTTGAAATAAATACTTTGTATTACCTTAAAGGAAAAAAAAATTCTCTTTAAGACTAATAGATGCAAAGATAATCCTATACCAGCATAAGAGTAATAGTTTTATTATACTGTCAGGGAAAGGAGACAATTTTAGTGAGCAGAATTACAAAACTAAAACTCTTGTTTTTTCCTGTTTGTTCCTGTAATCTGTAGCTGACAATTAGCACCCGTTAAGTCACAACCTTTGAACAGTACCCACTCTTTCCAGTATATTGATAAAACCAGACCAACTAACTTAAGTCTTGACCACTGACCAGGGCACCTTTATAACAGAAGATACTGTAAAAACGTCTTACACTCCGCTGTCTTGCCTCTCCCCTATATGAGCCCCTGCAGTTTCCAAGACGAAAAGATAGATTTGAGTGTCAGGTGCTGTGAAGTCAAGTACCACTCACAGCAACCCTGTGAACGACAGATCTGAATGGTGTCCTGTCCTGTGCCATCCTCACATCCTCTGACACACTTGAGCCCATTCCTACAGTCACTGTCAGTCTGTCTCATTGAAGGTCTTTTTCTGTTTTGCTGACCCTCCACCTTTCCAAGCATGATATTCCTTTCCAAGGAATAGCCTCTCCTAGCAACATGCTCAAAAAGATGAAAGTTTGCCATCCTTGTTCCTAAAGAACATTCTGGCTACACTTTTTCCAAGACATATTTGTTTGTTCCTGTATACTAGAATATAGTAAATTTCTGCATTTTCCATTCTAATCAATTTCTCCAAGGTGGTTTTTTTTTTCCAGTAGCAGAATCATGGCTTTCTGATAATATATTCCTATTTAGAAACCAGTTACCATTTAAAAATTTAAAGATGATGCAGTCTTTTCCAGTAAAGATTTATAGCCTTGGAAACTGATGGTGCAAGAATTTACTCAACAGTATTTGGTTTTGGGTTATTTTTTTTTTAAATGTATTTAAGTTTGTCACATTTTATGGTTTTTTTTTTTTATTTCTATATCTCATTTAAAAAATGAAACAAACAAAAATAGGCATCCAGTGGTTCTTTCATTCTTACCCAACCCTCTGCCTCTCACATTTTCTTAATAGTCATATTAGGTTGAAATGAGATTCCTTTTATTAGGATGATACAGACTCTGAACAGAGAACAGACCAGGGTTGGGTTGTTTTTTTTTTAAAATAAACTTTTTATTTTGTAGTGGTTTACTTACAAAGTTCGTATGCATTGTTTTCACACTGGATCTTTCCCCATGTCCTTTTCCCATTCCTCTCCCAACATATCAAATTGTGTGGCCCTGTGATTAAACCCCCACCCATCCTCACCCCTCTGCTCTCACCCTCCCCCCCTTGGATCCTTGTACATATTCTGCAGGTATCAAACCAGAGATTTGACAGGGGATCCTTTTGCCTTGCTCCTTATTGCCTCCTGGCAACATCTTTGAGGAAGGTGCAGTCCTTGGTGTTTTATTGAGGTCTCTATAGATCAAGAGAGGTTTGATCCTTAATCTTTTCCTGAGCCTTCTAATCTGTTCTTTTCCTTACACCTTTAATTCAGTCCCTTCCCCCCCCCCCCCCAACTGCTTTGGAGTGCACTGGATGGTGAAGATGTTGGAAGTTTAATATTAAAGTATTTTAACCATAGCACCCTGTGGGAGTCCACATGACTTTGTGTGATTTGGGTTAATTAAGAGAATGGGACCTTCTAAGAATCACATTCCTGTGCACATCCAAAAACTTCTCCGACAGGGTAAACAGGGAAGCCACAGACTGGGAAAAAGTATTTGGTAATGACATTTCAGATAAGGGGCTTATATCTAGCATTTATAAAATACTTGAGCACCATAACAAGATAAAGGTAAACAATCCAGTTGAAAAATAGGCACAGGATATGAACAGACACTTCACCAAAGAACACATTCAGATGGCTAACAAGCACATGAAGAAATGTTAAAAATCCCTAGCTCTAAGAGAGATGCAAATCAAAACAACTATGAGATATCATCTCACCCCAGTCAGAATAGCAAAATTGAACAGAACAGCAAGCAGCAAATGCTGGTGAGGTTGTGGAGAAACTGGAACCCTTATTCACTTTTGGTGGAAGTGTGAAATGGTGCAACCACTGTGGAAGGTGGTGTGGTGCTTTCTAACAAAGCTGCAAACAGAGATACCATTTGACTCAGCAATTCCATTACTGGGAATATACCCCAAAGAGACCATAACTGCCACCCAGGCAGATATATGTACACCCATGTTCATTTTGGCTTTGTTCACAATAGCAAGGAGTTGGAAACAACCTAAGTGCCCATCAACGAATGAATGGATAGAGAAACTGTGGTATATTCACACAATGGAATACTATGCTGCATTGAAAAACAAGGAACTCATGGATTATTCAAAATGGGTGAGCCTGGAGGACATTATGCTGAGTGAAGTATCTCAGTTACAAAAGGACAAATACTGCATAGTGCCACGTTTGTAAAACAGGACTGACATCAGGGTTGGGAAAAGACTGAGAAAGATGGGATAAATAATGTATACTGCATTGAAACAGATGAGGGAGAAAACTGTTTAAAAGGGATATATGATTATTGTCATGACAAGAGTCCAGAACGAAGGCTACGTAGGGAGGTGGGCCTGTGTGTGTGTGTGTGGGAGGGATTGTAAAACAATGAAAGAATTTTTCCTTTACTTTTCAAAGAGAAGAGAGTACTGGGGGGAGGAGGGGTGGGCAGGGAGAAAAGTCCAACAATAAATGAATGGAAATCCAAAGTCTCTGTAAATTTTCGTTAAAATTAATAATAATAAAAACAAACAAACCCCAAAAAAACCCTTGTAGTGATCATCAGGTTTTTGAGGTGGTAAATCGTAATAGAAGGAGACTACCCATTTTTCTCTTGGAATAGCTGCTGGATTTGGTAACACAATACCTTGTGCACGGTGCACCAGTGTTCCTTTGAATATGTATGTTGTTATTTCCCTGGTTCCTTGTTGAACTTGATGTGATTTCCATTTTTCTACTCCTGCAGATCCCTTGTCTGTGTCTCCTGCCCGCTGGGCTGAGGAATATCTGGAACAGTCAGAGGAGAAGCTGTGGCTTGGAGAGCCTGAGGGGTCAGCCACTGCAGATCGCTGGTGAGTTGACTGACTTCTACCTGGATCACTGTGGAAGAGCCTCAGTTTTCTCAGCTTCTTCCAGCCACATTCTCCAGTCAACTTTGAATCCTCTTTTTCTTCATTAAAGTTTCCACTTATGTTACTACTCTTAATAATTTACCTCACAAATGTAGTCATGAGTCTTCACTATATCCTATTAAAAGTTGATAACCTTACACTTGCAGCTTTTCTTCTTTTTAAATTTATGTTTGTGCTTGTCTTTTCCTTTTGTCTGCAAAGATTTGTTTGGGAAAGGGATAGGTAAAAAGCTATAGTACTTTTCCACTTGTGCTCAAATGTCCTTTAAACAAATTGGACATTTATAGACATTTATAGGCAAGCGAGTGGAGTAGTGTCACCCTCTCATCTCACAGCACAGGAACTGTAACTGCAACAGGCCAGGAGTCAGGAGTAGCAAGGAAAGTGATGGCAGAATAATGAGTAAAGTGGTTTGTCCTTCCTTCCCTCTTCAGGTATGATGAGTATCATCCTGAGGAAGATCTTCAGCATGCAGCCAGTGACTTTGTGGCCAAGGTAGATGATCCCAAGTTGGCTAATTCTGAGGTGAGCCATGCATTATTGCTTTTTTGCCCAGCTGAACTGGTCTTGGGAGGCAAGAATCTTGCTTCTGTTATCCAAGTTTAGTTTAAGAGAGGCAGATGAAGATTGTAGGTCTTTTCCTTCCTATATGGGGATTAGGGACCTAGGTTCTTACTTCTCCCTTCCAGTATTCTTTCCCTTGTTTTCTGCCTACTAACCTCTTTCTCTTTTCTGATGCTTTTCAAACCTGTAGAGCCAGAAATCCCCTGCCCTCCCCTTTTTATTCCCTACTGTTTTCAAGGTCAGTAGTGTATCACATCTGCAGGTAGAGATGGTCAGGGGAGGGGAGAGTGTAGAGTCCTCTTGGGCATGGTTGAGAGCGCACATTTGGAAGTCCTCTCCCATGTGGCCTGTGTATGTCTCTGTGCCCCAGTTCCTGAAATTCGTGCGGCAGATTGGCGAGGGCCAGGTGTCCCTGGAGTCCGGTGCAGGGACGGGCCGAGCTCAGGCAGAACAGTGGGCAGCAGAGTTTATTCAGCAGCAGGTAGGACTTTGCCACTTCCAGTCTAACTTAGAGCCAGCTGGTGCTCCAGGTCCTGGGCTTAGTGTTCAGTGGTCCTAGATGGGGAAGAGATTGCTATTTCTAGCTTCTCTTGGTAGTATCCAGGTCCAGAGTGGGTGGGGAAGAAATTCTGAGAATGTTCTTGTCAAAAGTGTTGAGGTTGGTGGTGGTTAGTGGGTGTTAAGTTAGTGTTTAGGGGATAGAAAGTTGGTGGTAGTACTGACCAGTCTTCTTCATCACAGGGTACATCAGAGGCATGGGTTGATCAATTCACGAGACCAGTGAACACATCTTCCCTTGATATGGAGTTTGAGCGAGCCAAATCAGCTGTAGAGGTGAGAACAGATAGTGCAGGAACAGGCACCCCAAGGGAAAAATAACATTCCTTCATCAGAGTGAATGTATTAACAGCAAAGATAATTAACATTGCATTTCAATAGTATTCCTGGGTCATCTTTGTCAAATTAGAGGTGAGATGAGTACCTTTTGAAAAATGCCAGTTATGAAACTCTGGGGATAGAATCTGAAAATAAGTGTTTTTAAAAAGCTCTTCAGTTGATTCTTAAACACAATGAGATTTAAGATCTACTACCTTGAGTTTGATAGAGTAGGGTGGGGTGATAATAATGAATTTCCCTTTTGCATATCCTTTCCCATCCTTACAGTCTGATGTTGATTTCTGGGACAAGCTGCAGGCAGAATTAGAGGAGATGGCAAAGAGAGATGCTGAGGCTCACCCCTGGCTGTCTGACTATGATGACCTCACATCGGCTTCCTATGATAAGGCAAGAACTTTCAGGCTCCAGAGTTTCCTCCTCTTATTGTCTCTCCATTCTAATATTTGAAAGTCATTCACTTCTAAGTAATTATTTTCTAACCCTTTTCCATGAAAAAGTCCCAGTCATTCTCTTATTTTACTCTCTTTCATAACTGAGTTGTATTTTATTCTTGGACTATAAAGGCTAATAAAATTACCTTTACCAAATAATGACAATGCAGTGACATAAGTACAGTCAAGGCTTGCACATGATACATTGAGAATGTGGAAAAAGTTGTTTTGGTTTGCAGGTCAGATTGTGAATGCTGACAAAATTGCTAGCTCTTTAAGTAGAGAGGAGTAGTTGATAGACCGTCTTCTCCCTCTCAAGCATATCTTTTTTTTAACTCACAAATTTATCTCAAGTCTCTTTTAATTGGTAGTTGCCACTTTCCTCATTCACGGATGGCAAAAATCTATAGTGATGAAAGATGTTTTGCATGTGATATGTGCTGTTGATTTAGAAGCTTATGCTATATTGGGGCTGTCACTGTAGTAGAAAAAAAATTGTCGTTTGTGGGCTATACTTAGTAGTTTAATTCCTGAAGTGAAGTCTGAGAGGACAGACTGATTTTGAAAAGAGGTGAAATAGGAATTGAGGAGGTGAGTAATATCTTTTTCTCAGCCCAAATCTGGCTGGCAAAGATTTTGAAAAATAACCAGGGCTTTAGCTGTAAAGCAAGATGCTGGAACTAGATCATAAAATAAGAGAGCTGCGAAGAAAGGGAAGAAGGAAGTTCTGGATAACTTTAAAACTAGGACTTGGAAGCTTTTGGAAAACTTAGAGCTGGGAAAACTAGGATTGTGTTTACTAGTCTAGCCTTATTTCCAGTTTTGGTATTTCTCCCCTAAGGGGTTTCTTCTATAAAATTCTGATGAAAAACTAAAGGAAATTCCTGAAGAAAACATTTTTTGCATTCATTTATATGACCAAGTTGAGGAGTTAAAAGAAGCTCCATTAACTTATAAATGGCATTATAAATTTTAGGTAAAATTTTTATGCTTTTTGATATAAATGTAAATGTTATTGTATATACTGGCTCATAGCTGACTTTTCAGCAGGTTTTCAGAGGCATTAAATCTCATGAGAAGAGATCATTTTTCCCATGGAGAATCTGGTAGATTTGAACTGCTTACTTTTGGGTTGGCAGTGCAGCTCCTTACCCACTAGGCTACCAGAGCTCCCGTAATGTAGCCATGTTGTTATGAACCATTGAGTTGTCCATGACTCATAGCTATTCCTTGTATAATAGCTCCAAATCCTGCCCTGTCCTGAGCCAATTTCATTGACTCTAACACATCTAGTCCCATTGCTCCAGTTACCATGTCAGTCTATCTCATCTGGGGTCTTCCTCTCCTGTGCTGTCCTTTCACCCTTCCAAGCATGATGTCCTTTGCCAAGGACTGGTCCCTCTTGGCCACATGGTACCCCAAGTATGTGAGATGGAGCTTCAAAATCCTTGCCTCTAAGGAGAAACTATGTAGACATAGTACTATTAAAATTTTATACAAACAGTATTTCTTTTATTGCTTTCATATTTATGGTATATTAGACCTCTCCAAAGTACTGAAGAACAATGATATCACTCTGGAGACTAAGGTGCGCCTGATACAGTCTGTGGTCTTTGCAGTCACTTGTGATGTACCAGAGTGCTGGACAATGACTAGGGATGATAGAAGGAGAATTGATGCCTTTGAGTTGTGGTGCTGGAAAATAGTATTGAATTACTATGGACTGCTAGGAGAACAAACAGGTTTGCCCTAGAGAGGGTTAAATCAGGCTACTCCTTGGAGGCAAGGATTCTGAAGCTTCGTCTGACGTACTTTGAACGTATTGCAAGGAGGGACCAATCCTTAGAGAGGGACATCATGCTTGGGAGGGTGGAGGGACAGCACAGGAGAGGAAGACCCTCTATGAAGTGGAGTGACTCAGTGACTGGGGTACTCGGGATAGGTGTGTTGGAGATGGTGAGATTGGCACAGGATAGAGCAGGGGTTAGGGCTGTTGTACATAGGTTCACTATGAGTTGCAGGTGACTCGATAGCACATAACAAGAAGAAGATAGAATACATTTTAAAAAATTTTATTAATTTTAATGAGCATTTACAGAGATTTTGGATTCCCATTCATTCATTGTTGCACTTTTCTCCCTGCCCAGCCCTTCCCCCCAGTTCGCTCCTCTCTTTGAAAAGTAAAAGAAAAATTCTTTCATTGGTATACAATCCTCCCTGCACCTTTCCCACCACTCTTGAGTACACTCCACTATGCAACCTTAATTCTTTACTCTTGTGATAACCATAATACCCTACCATATATTGCTTTTAAATTGTTCTCTCCTCATCTTTTTCAATGCAGTATACATAATTTATCCAGTTTTTCTCCGTCTTAGGTAAAATATATTTTAATGAAAAACTTTAAAATACAGCTAGAGTTTTAGATTATTTTTAAAGCCTGATATTATATAATGGATACTTAGGAACATTGCAAAATAGGAAATAGAAATACTTGTGTTATTATTTCACAAAAAATAGCATACTTTATTAATACTAAACAATAATAGATTCTACTTGGCTTCATATTACTTACTGTTGATTTATATGTCTAAATAAGGAGAATTGATGCCTTGGAGTGGTGGTGTTGGAAAGGAGTACTGAATACACATACCACAGACCACCAAGAGAAGAGATATCCATCTTGGAGGAAGTGCAACCAGAGTGTAGCTTAGAGGCAAAGGTGGTGAAACTTTGTCTAATGTCTAACGTACTTTGGACATGGTATCAGGAAGGCACCGGTCCTTGAAAAAAGACATTATGCTGGGGAAAGTTGATGGTCAGCAAAAAAGAGGCAGACCCTCAGTGAGATGGATAAGACACCGTGACTGTAACAGTGGACCTTAGCGTGTTGGAGATTGTGAGGATGGTGCAGCATAGGGCAAGTTTCTGATCTGTTGCTGTAGAGAGTTACAGCTGACCTGGTGATGCCTAACAATAACAGCAACAATACTTTAAAAAAAAATAAAACCACAGAATTGTAGGTCTTATTCTAATTGCCAGTTATATTTATGGATAGTTTTATTCTGTTAATAAAATAGTAAGCTTCAGAGACAGCTTGCAGTTTGCTTATGCTGATATTTTTTTTTTAAATTATTTTATTTTTTACAGAGGTTTTGGATTTCCGTTCATTCATTGCCACAATTTTCTCCCTGCCCACCCCTCCCCACCAGCTCGCTTACCCCTCCGAAGAGAGAAAAAAAAATTCCTTCATCATTAGTATACAATTCCCACGTCCCTTCCCCCCACCCCCCACCCCGAGTATACTTCTCTGTGCAACCTTAATTCTGGATTCCTGTGCTAACCATAATAATCATATATCACTTCTAGCTTATGCCGATATTTTATATTTTTTAAGTAAGAAGGAAATTTCTGTGGTGGGTCAGAGTGTTAGTGATCCTAATTTAATCGATCAGACTGTGGACCAGGGACGATGATTAGTTTGCGTATACCTTGTAGTCTATAGTGATAATGCCAGCCTCACCCTTAATACTGTAGGTTACTGAAAGTTCCTCTAGAGTATACTTTTTTCATCTAGCATATATTATAATTTTGAAAAAATTCTCTAATTAGTAAAGCAAGGAGGATCGGTAGGATAGGCAAGGAAGATATGAGAATCCCATGGTTACAAGATGATGATTATGATTTTGTTGCATTGAGGATACAGAAGGAACATTCACATCATTCTTATTATATGTAGGCCATTCTATCCTTTTAGATATGTTTTAGGTAAAAGTTTACATGGGAAACCAGGCTCTCATTTCAGAATTTTATACTACTTGTCATGACATTGGTTACATGTTTCACAATGTGCATACACTCACATTATTTCCATTATTTCTGTTTTATTTCCATTAATCCAGCTTATTTGCCACTCCTTAGGGTTTTATCTTTGGTTTAGGGTAAAGATGTTCATTCTCCTGTGGTTGGTTATTTAAGGGAACCACAGTTAATTATTGTTTATTTTATAAGCTAATCTTATTTGGCTGAAAGTTGATCCTCAGGAATTTCAGTTCCAAAGTCAAAGTGTATCTTAGGGGGATAGTCTCAGGGGTTCCAGCAGTCACTAGTGATCCAGTAAATCTGACCTTCATTTTTTTTTCTTTTAATTTAGTTTTATTTTACATTTTTCTCCTTCTGTTGGCAACTTCTGTTGTGTTCCTGGTCAGAACAAGAGGGTAGTGGTAGTTCCTCACTGGTCTCTGGCTGCATGAGGCCATGCTTCATGTGGACTTTAGTCCTGTGGAGTGGGATTGGGTTTTTAAAAAAAATTTTTTTTTATTCTTTCAGTCTTTTGTTTTCTTCATTCTTTTTTATTCCTGTTGAGTAGAGAGTAAGTTTTATTTTAATAGCCATTCAAGCTTTTAAGATCTCAGACATTACTCATAAAACTAGGATGTAAAACATTATTTTTTAAAAAATAACTTTATTTTTTAAACATTGACAGTTGACTGTTCCATGAGACTATGATCCCAAACTGTTAAACCCAGTAAACCTATATCTGTGTTTCTTTCTATCTACACACACACACACACACACACACACACACACCCATGCCTATAGATAGACTAGGGACATTCTGGTGTCCTAGTCCTGGAGGGAGTTGTACTGATAATACAAAGATAATACCTTCTCTCTGGTGGTTTAATTATACTCCCGACTTCTTAGGAGAGAGATGGCAGTTGCTTTGTATGGAATTGACAGTTTCAGAAAACCTGCTGCAGGATCACCTATGAGTTTGTCCTTTTGTGACGGACTTATTTCATTTAGCATAATATCCTTTAGATTCATCCATGTTATAAGCACATGGGCTCCTCATTATTTATTGTTGTGTAGTAGTCCATTGTATGCATTTATTTATTTATCTCTCGACGAGCACTTGGGCTGTTTGTAGTTTTAGGAATAATCCTGCAATAAAGGATGTCTGTTAATGTCACTCCTCTTATATCTCAGATATGTACCTGATGGTGGAATTGTTACATTATAAGATATTCTTATTTTTGGCTTTTTGAGGAGGCACCATATTGTTTTTCATAGTAGTTGTATTATTTTGAAATCCTGCCAGCAATATATGTCATTATATTTTTTAAAGTCATTATATATTTTTTAAATTTTTTTTTTACTATTATTTTTTGTGTGTATGCTGTCAAATCGGAGCTGACTGGTACAGGAGGAGGTTGTCCCTCCTCCTCAGCAGAACCTCTGGTGGATTCAAACTGCCTACCTCTGGGATTTCAGTGCAGTTTCTTGCCACTAGGCCACCAGAGCTTCCCAAAAGTCATTATAGTTTAAGGATGTGTCCAGATCCATAAGGATAATACCTAGTTAAGGATAGTATTTTAAACTTTTTGGTAAGGTTTTGGTGTCTAGTTTCATTTGATGTTCTCATTTGCTTTGTGAGGCAGGAATTATTTTCAGTAGGAAATTGACTTATAGATGAACATAATCTTTGTTCCCTTTGTTGGCTTGACCCATGACTTAATCATGGATAATTGTTAAAGTTGAATGCGAAAGGATTTATTCTGCTGAATTCTAATAGTCTAGACTGGTGTTGGCAAAATGGCCTGGAGGCCAAATCCAACCTACCACCTATTTCTCTGTGACCTGTGAGCAGAGGTTATTTTTTAAATAATTTTAAATGATTGAGGGGAAAAAAATCAAAAGAAGAGTAGTATTTTGTGACATGTAAGTATTCAGCCTTCATTAATATTATAAGCAGGTCTTGTCCAAGGTAACAATTCAGGGATGTGTAAACACAAGCATATCAAGATTTCCTAAATAAGCGTATTCTTAGTGTGAATCAGTTTGCAGATGTGCATCACTTCCCAGTTATTGTGAATAGCAGATGGTGGTGTGTTACTGAATGGTTTCACTTTAGTCATAGCTGATAACTCTTTACAGTGTGAAGACTTTGCCAATGTTTAATTCAGATGTTTTTTGGTAGGCATTCTGTTTCTTCTTTACCTCTGTTGTTGCCATCCTTCCATCCCTCTGCTCTTGACTATGTAGCTGTCTCTTACAACATTTCTCACTTGCTTCTCTTTCTTGTAGGGGTACCATTTTGAGGAGGAGAACCCGCTGCGTGACCACCCCCAGCCTTTTGAGGAAGGGCTGCGACGACTTCAGGAGGGGGACCTGCCAAATGCTGTGCTGCTTTTTGAGGCAGCCGTACAGCAGGATCCTAAGCACATGGAAGTGAGCGACTATTGTGATTTCTGACCTGAGGCTTGCTCCAGGTCTGAGAGATGTCCCAAAGAGAGTAGTGCAGGTGGCATAGGCCCTGGGTGATGGCCTGGACTGGAGGGAGGGAGAGTCAGTATTTCAGTGAGGGAAGTCAGAGTTAGGGAGGATAAAAAGGTAAATGCCAGGATGATGGAATCTGTCAACTTCTCTTCTAGGCCTGGCAGTATCTGGGTACCACTCAGGCAGAGAATGAACAAGAACTATTAGCCATCAGTGCCCTGCGGAGGTGAGTTCACTGAAAGGTGAAGGCTGGGAGTGGGCTCAGCGCTTTTAGAATGATGGGATCCTAGGTGCATATCCTGTCACCTTTCTGGCCACTAGTTAGGAATGTGTTCTTGTAATTAAATGGAGAAGATTGGAATGAGTTTGAGATAATGTGTTCCAGCGTTATCAGTGTTTTATTTCATTTTTGAGGGTGGGCTAGTTTCTTGGTCACTATCATTAATATCACATGCAAGCAAGATTCTGCTGAAAATTATCCAAAAACGTTTGGAGCGATATGTCAACAGTGCCAGATGTGCAGGCTGGATTTAGAAGAGGTCATGTTATTAGTGATATTATGACTAATGTTAGATGGATCTTGGCAGAAAGCAGAGAATATCAGAAGAATGTCTATCTGTGCTTCATTGACTATACAAAGGCTTTTGACTGTGTGGATCACAAGAAGCGATGGCTGACTCTGAGAAGAATGGGAATCCCAGAACATTTGATTGTGCTAATGTGAAATCTATGCTTGGACAAAGAGGCAGTTGTCAGAACAGAGCAAGGAGACACTACATGGTTCAAAATCAAGAAGAGGGTTCATCAGGGATGTATTCTGTCTCCATACCTTTTCAATCCGTATGCAGAACAGATCATCCGAGACGCTGGGCTGTACGAAGAGGAATGTGGCATCAGGATTGGTGGAAGAATCATCAACAATCTGCATTATGCAGATGACACAACCCTGCTTGCTGAAACTGAGGAGGACCTGAAGCACTTGCTGCAGAAGGTCAAGGATTGCAGCCTTCAATACGGCCTTTAAGCTCAACATCAAGAAAACAAAGATTCTAACCACTGGGTCAATTGGCAGCATCAGTGTGGATGGTGAAGAGATTGAGATAGTTAGCAGTTTTAGTTTACTTGGCTCCACAGTCAACACTCTTGGTAACAATAGCCAGGAAATCAAGAGACGAATTGCATTGGGAAAGTAAGCTTTGCGGGACCTCTCAAGAGTATTGAAGAGCAACGACATCAGGCTGGAGACTAAAGTGTGCTTCATCCAGGCTATAGTCTTCACAATTACGTGCTATGCATTAGAGAGTTGGATAGTGAATAGGGATGATAGAAAGAGAATTGATTCCTTTGAGCTGTGGTGCTGGAGAAGATTGTTGGATATACCATGGACTGCTAGGAGACAAACAGGTTTGTCCTGGAGAGGGTGAAGCTGGAATGCTCCTTGGAGTCAAGGATTCTGAAGCTTCATCTGACATACTTTGGGCATGTTGCAAGGAGGGACTGGTTCTTGGAGAAGGACATCATGTTTGGGAGGGTGGATGGATGGTGCAGGAGAGTAAGACCCTCAATGAAATGGATCAGTTTTGTGATTGGGATAGTGGAAATTGAGTGTATTGGAGACGGTGAGGTTGGCACAGGATAGAGCAGCATTTAGGGCTCTTGTACACAGGGTCGCTGTAAGTCGCAAGTGACTTGATGGCACGTAACAACAACAACAACACATCTGTAACTTTATTATTACTTTACACATTAGAGGATTCCTTTTCTTTTAATCTGAGCTGTTTGGACAGGCAGAGCCATTGATCTGCATTTTAAAGCTTGTTTTGACTTTCTGGGTACCAGTGTCATTGCTGAGACCCAATCTACTTTTTTCCAAACAGGTGCCTGGAGTTAAAGCCGGATAACAGGACAGCACTGATGGCACTTGCTGTAAGCTTCACCAATGAGTCTCTACAGCGCCAGGCCTGTGAAACCCTGCGAGACTGGCTGCGCTGCACGCCTGCCTATGCCCATCTGGTGACACCTAGTGAAGAGGGGGCTAGTGGGGCAGGACTGGGCTCCAGCAAGCGTGTCCTGGGATCTCTGTTGTCTGAGTGAGTGTGAGGGCCTCCTGAGGCCTAGGATGACTTTGGTTTAAAAATCTGAATACATTGAGACTCAAAGGTCCAAGAATGGGATGGGAAACCCAGGATTAACATGAAAGAGGTCTGCATTCTACAGTGTAATCTTGGGATAAGAAAGAAAATCAGACTTCTAATTTAGGATTTGGGATGAGGCGGACAACTGATAGATTGGTGATTCTTGGGAATGCAGTTTCACTGACTAAGGGATTATTTGGAGATTGGAGGAGTAGAAATATACTTATCTTCCTCTCTTTTCCGTATTTATTCTCTTCACATAGCTCTTTGTTTCTTGAAGTGAAAGAGCTCTTCCTGGCAGCTGTGCGCTTGGACCCTACATCCATTGACCCTGACGTTCAGTGTGGCTTGGGAGTCCTCTTCAACCTCAGTGGGGAATATGAGAAGGCCATGGACTGTTTTACAGCTGCCCTCAGTGTTCGTCCCAATGTGAGTTTGTGAGGAGGGATGGAAATGGGATATGACTCTACTCTGTCATTTATCATTTATTGGAACTTCTGGAGTTTTTCCAGTGTCCCACACACTGATTTCCTCTGGGAGGTTTGGGAAAAGAAAGGTGGGACTCCAGGGTCATCTAGAGATAAGGGGTCTGCACGAGGTGCATTGTGGCCACACAGTGAACTGTGAAAAAGGAATGGGTAATAATTAATACATGTTAGCACACAGCAGAGTGAGGGCGTAGAGTGGGAGGGATCAGTAGAGTTTGATTTGAGTTCAGCTTACATTTTTGATGCTTCTGCATCCCCATCCCAGGACTATTTATTATGGAATAAGCTAGGGGCCACCCTGGCCAATGGAAACCAGAGTGAAGAAGCAGTAGCTGCATACCGCCGTGCGCTTGAACTACAACCTGGCTATATTCGGTCCCGCTATAACCTGGGCATCAGCTGCATCAATCTTGGGGCTCACCGGTGAGAGCATCTGATGAGTAATGAATGGATAAATGAACTCTTTCTTTCTGCCTTTGCTCTTAGCTTTTCATTTTCTCATCTTAGCATTTCACTTACCAGCTTTTATTCCTCTTCTTTCTTATAGGGAGGCTGTGGAACACTTTCTGGAGGCCCTGAACATGCAGAGGAAAAGCCGAGGCCCTCGTGGTGAAGGAGGTGCCATGTCAGAGAACATCTGGAGTACGCTACGTTTGGCGTTGTCTATGTTGGGCCAGAGTGATGCCTACGGGGCTGCTGATGCCCGGGATCTACCTGCGCTCCTAACTATATTTGGCCTGCCCCAGTGACAGTGGGATGGGCTGCCCTGTGAGTGTCCACCTGGAGGGGTTCCTGCTTTGGATGTGACTTCCTCTCCCCAAATGGGCCTACCAAGGGGGTGGGCTGATGACCATAAGCGGTACGACCTCTCAGGAGCTGCCTCAGCATAGGGGCAGGTAGTCCTTGTTCTAGTCCCTACGTAATTGTAGGAAAATGAGCTGTGTTATCTCTGAGTCTCTTGGTAATTCAAGGACTGTACATCCAGCTACAGATCTCTCTGTTCATCATGCCATTTCTTGGTGCTGCTTTTTGAGTAGGACCCGAAGATAGAGGGTAACTGTTATCATCAGCTGCCATTCTGATAGGGCCTACCACATTTGTAATGTCTGCCTTTTTTCCTACTCTTATAGGGAGTTGACCATAGTATAGCTTCCTTAGGCAGTTGTGTGTAGAAGGTTCTTCTACCTTGCACCTCTCTTTAAAGACTAATTGAGATACGGATGGCCTGCTTAATTAAATGCTGTGGAAGTGCTCATAATTCTGTCATTCTTAGACCTCTCCTGGCCATAAGCTCGGATTCTACATGAGTATGATGAAGCAGTAATGCTGGTATCATTCTTGTAGGGGTCCTCAGGAGCTTATTATGGGTTATCCAAGGGTCAGGGCCACTAGCTACAGAGTGTTTGAGGTTTGAGGGGAAGGAGGAGTGCTCATATATGCAATGAGCCTGGAGGGAAGCAGATGCCATCAGGCTCAGGGCTCTATTCTTTTGGTGGAAGGACAGAGCAAGTGGAATGTGGGTTATGAGTGTAGCAAGTCCTTGTCTTAGAAAGACCTGTGTGTAAAAGTTGAGCTAGTTCTTTTGGAAAGGTGGTTCAGAGGGTGTAACCTTGCCGAATTCCTTGTAAAGGGCAGCACAATGTTACTGTAAGCCTTTGTTGTACTTCTTGAATTGTTTCTAGGGGAAATTGTCAGAAAAATCCCCTCTTTACTATTACCTCACAAGGTGAAATTGAGGGAAGATGAGGGAGCAACTTGGATTCTTTTCAGCTGCCCCCGCATTGAGAGATACACTAACCCCCCAGAAATGACTGCTAAGCCTCTTGCCTTGTCTCCAGTAGCTAATGATCAGAGAGATTTTTTTTTAAAACTACCATGATCCCAAAGTTCCATTGTGAAATTTATTTTTCTTTGTATGAATGTGTATATGATTTAAAAATAAAACTGTAAAATATTTGTATGAAGAATAAATGGCTCTGACTTGAGTTCTACCACTGGTCGTGAAGGAAGGGGGTGGGAGGTAGTTTGGTGTTTGGAGGATTGGTATTAAACAGTTTTCCTCTTTATCTATTTGAAATCTGTCTGGTAGACTAATTGTTTATCTATCCAGTAATTATTCAACTTACAAACTCATTGCTGTCCAGTCAGAACTGACTCAAAGCTGACCCTTCAGAGCGTTTCTGGGGCTACACATTGCACAGGAGGACTCCCTTGGGACTGCTGTTGGATTCAAACTGCCAGAGAGGTATGACCTTTCGGTTAGCAGCGCAACTCTATGAGTTACACCACCAGCACTCCCTATCCAGTAATTATGGAGAACTTACTATTTACTTGATAGTATGAATAAGATGAATGAGGTCTCCATCTTCATGGAGCTTCTGGTCTAGTAGAAGTTACAGATATTTAACAATTACATGCTTTTTTAAACTTATATTACTGTTACACAGGAAAATAGAGGATACTTTATAAGAGCTAGGAACTCAGGTGGTGTAGTCAGTAGTGTGTTTTGCTGCTTGCCAAAACCTCTGTATCACTCACTAGTGGGTCAAATCCACTAGTGGCTTTGAGGGAGGAAAATGGGCAGTCACCTCACATTAAAATGTAAAGCCTTGGAAACCTGATGGAGGGTCATGATGAGTCAGAGTTGACTTGACGACAGTGAGTCTCGAACTTCTTGATGATAAAAGTTAAGGATCCTTTGGTGGTACAAAAAGTACTAGACTACTGTCTAACAAGGAGAAAATGGGCCATGAACATCTCTCTGAAAGGACCAGAGAGAGTAAGAATAACATAGCCCCTCACTGCCATAGAGCAGAAAGCGAATAAAGAGCCCATAGTCTAGCTCCATGATGCCTCTAGAGTCTTTGCAGCAGAGGTTGTTTTATTTGTTGCTGACTCTCAGACTCACAGCTACAGTACTAACAATAGGGTTTATTAGGGAATTGAGTTGAGGAGGCAAAGAATATCTCACAATACGAGTCTAGGCTTTAGCCCAACAGTTCCAACGCACAATTCCTTGATAAGTCTAGTCTCTGGTTTCAGTTCAGCAGTCAAATCTAAATCATCCATCAAGATTTGTCTCAAAGTAATTAGAACCAAATCATCCAGCAAGGTTGCCTCAGAGCAGTTATAAGTTAGCTTCTCCTTCAAACATCAGACAAGGACAGCCAAACCCTTTACTGGCCAGCACAAATACAAGAAGCCTCAGGTCACATGTCATTTATCCACAGTCTCTCCACGACCAGCGCCTCGCTCTCACCCAGGTTTTGTTGCCATAAGCTTTGCTCACCTCAAGTCTTGCTGCCCAGTGTGGGAAGCAATCTTTCGCTTATCCTAGTCCCACAGCTATTGATGATTTGAAAGATCATCATTAAGGCAGCTGAAGACCGGAGAGGACTAACTGTAATGGCTTTTAAAAAAGCCAATCTTTAGGCTAACATCACAACTACTAACCTAAAAGCTGATGGTTAGAATCCACTCTGGCTCCATGAAAGACCTAGCCCCGCCAGTCGTACTCTTCTCTAAGGGTACCATTTTTTAAAAATTATTATTAATTTTAATGAATACAGAGACTGGATTTCTATTCATTCATTCATTGTTGCATAAGGCTATCATTTTTAATTGAAGCATACTGTCATATAAACCCATGGAATGGTTTTAGATAGTAGCTGAGAATGTAGACACTCTACCACTAGGGCTTTCTCCTCCATCCTTCTTTGTAATTTCCAAACTTTATAATGCATTTCTCACTACTTTTATAGAGAAGGGAAGAAAATACATGGAGGAGGGTCAGGGCTAAGGCTGGAATCTGTGTCCTGGTTTCTGAACTACTCAGGCCTGGGAGTGGGCTGGATCATCTAGTAAGCAATGAACAAACTGTTGATAAAAGAAGGAAAATAAGTCTGACTGAGCAAGTAGTAGCTTGAAATTTGAGGCTAGCTTTTAGTTTAGACAGTCTCCAGGTTTTTTTTTTCTGTTGAATCTGCTTTTAGTAGCATGAAGAGGCCCAAGAGGATGGTCTTTTTGTGTATTTAGAGCTTGGTATCCTTTTGAACAACAACAAAAAAATGAGCCAATTTTTCTGAGACATGTGTGAGGAGTCCTTGTATGATACAAAAGGTTAACCAAAAAGTTGGAGGTTTGACTTCATCCAGAGGCATCTTGAAAGAAAGACCTTGTAATCTGGGGGAAAAAACCCCCAAAACATCCATTGACAACCCTATGAAATGCAGTCCTACTGTGACAACATGGGTCACCATGAGTTGGATTCAACCCAATGACAACTATGTGTGTATATTTAATACTTAATTACATTTAGGTAAATACATAGAAATGGCCAGAAGTAAATCAGCTAAGAAAATTTTTAAAAAATTACATCACAAAGATACTTAGACTGAAAAAAAAAATCTGGATAAGAAAAAGATACTGAATGATGTATAAAACAACATTTGCAGTTTTCAGTTGCCTCAACATGTGTGTGAAAGCTGGACAATGAACAAGGAAGACTGAAGAATTAATTGATGCACTTCAATTATGATGTTCCTGTGGAATTTGGACTATACCATGCCAGAAGAACAAACAAATCTGTCCTGGAAGAAATATAGCCAGAATGCTCCTTAGAAGTGAAGATGGACAGACTATCTCTTGTACCAGGAAGAAGGATATCATACGTGATAAAGAGGAAGGCTCTCAGTGAGATTAGCTGTGACAATGGGCTAACACATGATCGAGGCGGTGTTGCAGAAATTGATAGTTTCATTCTCCTATACATGGGTCACTATGAGAACCGACTTGACAACTATCAGCAGCAACGAACTAAATAAAAGCCTATTCTTCAGAGTCCACTTCAGATGTAGTCAAGTAAAATTAACTGAAAAAATCTCTCAAAGAACTTGGGATAGGAAACTGAAAATGTGAGGGCCTGAACTGTCAAGTATACAGAGAGATCTAGTGCTCACCAACATCTATATCCCTTTCTTACTGGGTCCATGGATAATACATTTCTAGCTTTATTGACTTGAGACAGGGCCATGCTATGACTGGGGTGATTTTTTATGTTGCTGTGATGCAAGAAGCCATGCTGTTTGTATTTTAAGTACCAGTAATGTCACCCAAGGACAAGTTTCAGTGGAACTTCTAGACTAAGATTAAGAAGCAGGACTGACCATCCACTTCTAGAGTAATAGGTCTTTACAAACCTTTTGAATAACACATGCACATTATTTGATACAGTTCAGAAACTAGAGCCCCTCAGATTGTTGTGTACTGTATCTAGTCAGAACTCATAGCTGACCGTCCAGTGGGTTTTCAGAGGCAGTAAGTCAAATGGGAAGAGATTGCTCATCTTCCTCCCGTGGAGTAGCTGGTAAATTTGAACTGCATTCCTTTGGGTTAAAGGAACCTAAAGGTTCCTTACCACTAAGCCACCAGAGCTCCACCTCCTATCCCCAGATTGCAGTTGTTATTTTGTACTGTCAACTTGCCTGCAATTCATAGTGACCTTATGTACAACAGCTCTGGAGCCCGCCCTATCCTGAGCCAGTCTTACTGATGCCGACACTCTTACCCCCATTACCTCAGTTACTGTATCAATCCATCACATCAGGAACTTCCTCCCCTGTGCTATCCCTCCAGCCTTCCGAGCATGGTGTCCTTCTTCAAGGACCAGTCCTTTCTGGCCCCATTCCCAAAATATGTGAGATGAAACTTCAAAATCCTAGCCTCCAAGGAGAAACTTGATTTCACCCTCTCAAAAGACAGACCTATTTGTTTCCTTGGCAGTCCATGGTATGTTCAAGACTCTTTTCCAGCACCACAGCTCGAAGGCATCAATTCTTCTATCATCCTTAGTAATTGTTCAGCTCTCTGATGCATAGCAAGTCATTACGAAGACCATGGCTTGGATCAGGTGCACCTTAGTCTCTAGACTGACATCGTTGCTTCTCAGTACTTTGGAAAGGTCCCTGAGAGAGATTTACCTAGTACAATTCACCTTTTGATTTCCTGACTGCTAATGCCAAAAGTGTTGATTTAGAACCAAGCAGGCTGTAACTATTAACAACCTCAACCTCTTCTCCATCCGTCATGGTATTGCCAGTTGGACCAGTGGTGAGAATCTTTGTCTTCTTGATGTTGAGTTTCAATCCACATTGAGGA